AAATAGCAGATTTTTATCGATGGGTCCAATATTAGATCCAAAGGCCAACATTAGAGCCATTTCTTGACTTGTGCTTCACAAAATTTATAATATTTTAAAGGAAAAATGATTTCAATTCCATGCCAAGACATATTAAACGTTCAGCAACACTTCCAGAATTTAAAAGACACTGCATTTCACAGGTTAAAACCAGCAATCAATACGAAACTATCGATTTTAAATTGGCTCACTACTTGACTAGCCTATTGGTCTCAAGCAAATTGATTAACGTACCCCATTCTTGTCGAAGTTCTAGTACTACACAATGTTTGTTTTGATTTGCCATGAAAGTTTGACAGATAAAATGAGGGGTTCGTGGATTTTCCTATGTTTCGAGGGGTGCATCGATTAGCTTGGGACCGAAGATAGTACCAGCTGAGCCAAAAAGTTGAGCTTGTTTCTTCGGGACCTTCTGGTCTTAGAGTTACCTCTATATTAAAACTGTTGTTGAACAGTTATCCAGTGATTTTTTTTATAAATTGACAAATTATTAATCTTGACGAAGTTACCTCTTACGGATTATTTTATATGGATAGCTGTCATAACGACATTTTAATAATTATTGTAGCACTGCAAAAACTATTTATGTTCTCCTGATGGATTTTTAATATTTGATTTAATAGCTGAGTACTGCGGAGAAAATCGATTTCATTTTGCAAGCCAATGGAAAACTGCTTGAAAATTTGTTCAAGTTTAAAATTGTTTTGTTCTTTATAAGTTGATTTCCGCCAAAAGCTCTGAGTCAGGAGTTCTCGAGCCCCCATGACTCTATCAAAGTTTGTTTACAAACATGTTTCACCAAAGTATGTTTTACTGCAATTGAAAACTCAGCTGAGTCATAAAAACTATGCTGGTTTTTATACTTTAATCATTGAGCCTGTTGGTTTTTGTCTTTAAGCTTACAACTAAGAATGTGTTATGAAAAAGTATCAATCATATTTATGAGATTGCAATGCTTGACGAGAGGTAGGAACAGTAACTGAGTTTGTTGCTTCTGAATGTTGTATCGAGCTCAGTATCGTTTTCTGATGTTCATTTTTCGATGCTGTAGCAACATTTGCAGAACCGGATGCCCGCTGCGCTACTGCATGTGGAGTACCCGTTGATCCAGATACAATCGAAGATATCCCGGGGTGGAGAAGAGAATGATGCTTCTTGTTACATGAGCGGCAACGGAATCGTGATTAACAGTCTCGGCTTAGATGGTTCCGACGCAAGTAGTTGCTACACAATTTCTTCAAGTTAACGACCTGGAACCGTTCATCCAACTCCAACTCCTCGAAAGCAGTACATGCAGAAATATAATGATTACAATCTCAATGTTTGTAATTGCCGGAGCGTTTTCCGTCAAAGCATGCACTGTAGGTCTGGGAACAGATTGATTGAAACCGGAACTATTCGCAGAGAACGACAATGAAAGACCTTCCGAGCTACAGCATCGAGGATCTGCGTTTGTTCATTTAAGAATTCCATCACATTACAGAAAGCTGGCTCATCCTTCTTGATGACATATTCCTCCCAATATTTCTGCAAATGGTCGTCCAGTTTCGATACCAGCAACTGCGTCAGCATCGCTCTCCAACCAGATATGCATTCTCCCAGTTGATTGAGGATCTTTGAATGGCTATCGAAGCAATCGATGAGCTCGTGAATCTGACTTGCGGATATCTTCTTCACCTTCTGGAATTGTAGCAATACATTGACATGCCGTTTTTTCTGCAAGTAGGTGTTCGCAAAACGTTTCACCAAGGCAAACCATGCAACCATGGAAAGAGGCTTACCTGAGAGCCTATGAAAATTGCCTTGTTTGATCAAATTCTCGATGAAACAGGTAAATTCTGACAATAAAGTTGTCGCCCAACTGATAATCAGGCCTTGAATGCAGTTCATTATCTCCGATTCTGGGTTTACACCCGTGGGCCCTCCCGTACGCTCCAACAAAAATCCAAGCTATAACCGCGATGGTAGCGCGACTCTTTTGCGTGATATTCCTTTGTTGCATGTAAGACAAAATGTCGTGTCCGATTCCAATCTTGTATCCTGGAAATGGCATCAATGATCTAATCAGACACTGCTCACATTTGTCGGAATCTTCTTTGATCGCTCAAAATCCAGTAGAAATGATTGTCGTAGGTAAGTAGTTTACTCCTTCTTTCTATCCAGGTTCCAGACTAAGATGGCAAACTCCAAATTTTGGATTCAACAGGTAAGGAAATTTCAGGAACAATGTCGCTAGGAAGTATGTCCAACAATGGGCAAGTTGTTTCTTTCATTCGTATAACTCTGAATATCTAATTTATTTGAAGCAACACCCTTTTATTTGAATAGATTATAACACAGACTAATACTTTGGTGGCTGGCCGTGATGGATATTTATTTGCTACTAAACAAAAAAGCTCAAAACATCAACGACCGATTGAGCGTTCACTCGGCTGTTGACAGAAGCAGACCACTCTCAATATGTGTCACGCGATCGTCTGTTTACTCGGCAGCAACCATTGTGTGGTCCTCCTCATTGTTCTTCATCAGCAGTTCTTTCAGTCGATGCGTCGTCGACTTTGGAAAGCAACCGTTTTGTGATGACTGTGTGAGTGCTGACCACGTTTTGCGTCCATTGCTGCAATGGAAGCACTCTGACCCCCGTTGGCAAATCTGCCATACAATGAAACCACTGGAAGCGGTTTCAGTTCTGGTGGAGGAGGCTTATTGGATAGCGGAAGATACAATGTTTATTGTGTTGTAATTTTTGACTATAGTTTTAAGATATATTGTAGTGCATGTAGTGAACAAGAATCCACGGCTCTGTAAAGTTAATTCGGTTGAGCCCTATCAAATAAATTAATAATAAAAAATAACAATGACCGACTGCGGCGGTAATAAAAAAAACTCCACTGCGCACGCGCAATGCATGAGTGTATGCGCACAGATGGTATACATAGAGTGCGGAACGAAGGGAAATGAAATGGGATACCCGACTAAAAGAGTCACACGAATAGGACACCTTAACACATTGGATTATTGCGCATTGGAGCACTACCCGAGCAAAGCTGGAGATCAAATTGAAATCAGAATTTGCTATTATGATGTCACTTATTTTGAATACTCCAGTTGATATCATTTTGGTTAACTTAACGGTTAACACAGCAATGCCTTACTTCATCGCTTGTAATGACGTGAATATGCTTTTATTGGATGCCTGCATTGCCATATAATTTAGCGATGTCTAATTACTAAAATTTCTAGTAGAACCGCTACTTCTAGTCGCTGTCAGCTCTTTTTTATGATCGTGAGCAGAGTGTCGAGCGATCGCTTTATGCAACAATATCCACATTATTTTGGGTGACTTTTGTGTTATTATGTATTAATTCGGTCAGTTTTGCCTGTTTTTTTTTTCCTTGATTTGTTTTCCGTCAATTATGTTTTCCGTGCTGAGCACCAATGCTACCGACGCCAGGGAGACAGCTTCCACAACTGGATCCTACCTATCGACCCATCAACTCATGAACCGGGGACTAACGGCTTTACTTCCCTTCCGAAGGAAGGCGTGATTAGAGAACATCCCGGCGGCGCTGACTGGGATTGAACTCAGGCCTGCTGGGGTGCGAGGTAATCACGCTTATCACTACTCCACCGGCGCCACTAGTTTTGCCTGTTGATCGATTAGCAATTTGAAATCAAAGTTCATTGTGACTAGCACTTTACACGAACTGCAACACGGTATGACATAAGATTGAGTGTCAATCTTTTTGTCATTTTTACGAAGTGAGCCACGTTTCACAGGCACTCTCACGCAGGCGGTATGAAATGTACGCGTACATCCGATGCACTCCCACAATACCGTTTCGACGGAGGAATCAAAATAGCAAATTTCACAGCTGATTTTGAATAAAAACAGTACACAAGAATAAAAACGTAACGTATGCAAACATAAATACAACGAAAACGCAAGTGGCTACGAGCGATTTGAAAACGCGACTGCACTGATTGACGACCGGTGTGACTAATTCTGTTCGTCATTCTTGCTGAAAATTGTAAAAAAACAAGAGAAATTTATATTTTCATCGAAAACGACCTAATTCAACTCTTTCGCAACTACAACCGAATACTGATGCTAAATGACAATTGTAAAAAGCATGTTCAAAAGGATTACAAGATTTCTCAAACCATGAAATAGTCAAAAATATACTGGAACGATGCGTTCAAAAAACATGAAAATAAACTGTTCGAAAACTTATAATAAGAGCTAAATCTAAGGGGATAGCAATCCCTTCAATAATATTTTATGGTTGTTTTCATTGTTAACTGATAAATATATTTTACAGATTTGGTAGAAGACATTTATTTTCAACTTATTTTCGATACAGTCCTTAGTCTATTTAAAAATTGAATTTGCAGAAGAATGAAGAACCCCAGATCAGACAAAAGTATATAGACTTGCCAAATGTTGCAGATGGCGAAAAAAATCATACTGATAAAACATTTTTTTTTGTATAGAACGGATTTTAGTGAAACTTAAAGCATAAGAAAGAACTTTGTCTTGACTATCAATAAGCAAAATTTCAGGATATTTGGTTCCATGAACTCCAGGAAATCCTATTTTGAAATAGGCTACTCCAAAAAGAAGCGTTTTGCTAAAAATGCTGAAGCTTCTTACGGATTCTAGTCATTAAGTTTTAAATTAAATTAAATTAAGAATACTTGACCAATTCAAATTTACCATATTCAAATTTTAAGGAAATGAAAAAAGGGTGAATTTCACCATTGGTTGATACAAACAGGGCTTTTCCTTTCATCTCATAGGACAGATATTGACATGATTTATTAGTTGAGAATCACAGAATCACGCTTTCAAGATCGAATTTTTGATGATTTCAACTTATTCCTGAATATAGTAAAGTCTACTTCCGCGCATGATTGTCAGCACAACATAAAATGACTTCTTTTTATTGGTTTTACAAAAGGATCTCGAGAAGCAGCATTCACATATGGGATCACAAGCGCCGGAGCCGTCCATGCGATAACAGCAGCATGCGCCAAAGGAAACATCACAATGTGTGGTTGCGATTCAAAGCAGAAGATGCAATTTTCCACTGAAAGCGATGTGAGTATCGATGTTTTGTCCCCTTTATTAAAAATAAACACTTGCCCGTCCTGGTATAATAGTTTCACGCCCGTATATGCAATTTATGTTGTCTTTCACACAGAGTTGGAAATGGGGCGGATGCTCCGCTGATATCGGCTTTGCCATGCGGTTTACTAAGAAGTTTCTGGACGCACGGGAGATCGAAAACGATGATCGGAGCATGATGAACCTTCACAATAATCGTGTAGGACGTAAGGTGAGTATAATCCTTTTTATAATATTTTAGTTCTTAATTCTAGATTTATGGAAGGGTTTGCATCAATAATGATCTTTGAATACTTAAAACGCTCATGACAAATAATTTAAATGACGCCTCCTTTCTGATTGACTAATTCACGCGTCAGGGAAAGAAGGAAAAACATATATTTTATTTGAAGATGCTAATTTCAAATAACAGACTGTAGTGGTAATTTTTATACGATTTTGAGTAGATGAAAGCATAGAGTTGATAGTTCCGTTAGAGTACGGCAGTGTGAAGATTGCATATAGATATTAGAATAGCGAGCTAGGACAACTTTTAAGTAAGGTACAAATCGGTTTTTTCATCTCTCTTTACCAAACTCCCCCTTTGGGGAGGGATGGTGAGGGGTGTCCCCCCCCCCGCCACCACTGGCAAAAAGAGATGAAAACCGACCGCTCAAGTACCAACTGCGTGTTTTGAATCAGTTCTACCGATTTGTTACCGCACTACGGTTGTTATTTGAAGGAAGGCATCCAGTCGTAGGTTTGGAAATTGCAAATATTGTTTACCCCTACCACGATATGTGCTCCTGTCATCGTCAACTTGACGATCTCGAGGGGACACGGGTGGGGTAGGTGCTGCTACTGTACCTTTCTACCATTGACAGTAATAGATGGTATGCTCCCATCCAGAGTTATGTACTTTGACTATATGTTTTAGTATTACTTCTACGTGAAGTCAACGATTTACATATTTTTTTTTTCCTTTGGTTTGTTTTTTTCCGTCGATCTTGTTTTCCGTGCTGAGCACCAATGCTACCGACGTGCCAGGAAGGCAGCTCCCACACCTGGACCCTACCTATCGACCCATCAACTCATGAACCAGGGACCAACGGCTTTACTTCCCATCCGAAGGAAGGCGTGATCAGAGATGTTATGCCTCAGAACATCCCGGCGGCGCCGACTGGGATTGAACCCAGGCCTGCTGGGGTGAGAGGTAATCACGCTTACCACTACACCACCGGCGCCATTAACGATTTACATAGTTGAAGATGCTAATTTCAAATAACAGACTGTAGTGGTAATTTTTATACGATAGATGGAGTAGATGAAAGCATAGAGTTGATAGTTCCGTTAGAGTACGGCAGTGTGAAGATTGCATATAGAATAGCGAGCTAGGACAACTTTTAAGTGCGGTAAAAAATCGGTAGAACTGTTTCAAAACACGCAGTTGGTACTTGAGCGGTCGGTTTTCATCTCTTTTTGCCAGTGGTGGCGGAGGGAGACACCCCTCACCATCCCTCTCCAAAGAGGGAGTTTGGTAAAGAGAGATGAAAAAACCGATTTGTACCTTCCTTAAAAGTTGTCCTAGCTCGCTATTCTAATATCTATATGCAATCTTCACACTGTCGTACTCTACTTACCACTACAGTCTGTTATTTGAAATTAGCATCTTCAACGATGTAAATCATTGACTTCACGTAGAAGTAATACTAAAACATATAGTCAAAGTATATATTTTATTATTTTCCATTTTTCATCTCGTTTAGGAACCTAAATTTTAGTTCAATGAAATAATGAAATTGGGTTGTTAGCAGAATGCTTAAATAAAACAGCAAAAAAAAGGTTATCTTCCATTTAATTCCACTTTTTTTGCTGTTTTATTTAAACAATTCAAGTGTCCAGAGTTTTTCCAAAACATTGATTTTAATGGGCATCCGTAATAAATTCTTCAATCATATAAATCTGGGTTCAATCGCAGTCGGCGCCGCCGGGATTTTCTGAGGCATAAAATCTTTGATCACGCCTTCTTACGAAAGAAAGGAAAGCCGTTGGTCCTCGGTCCAATAACGATACAGTTACCATGAAATAAAATACAATTACGTAAAAATCTATTGCCAACAACCGATCTTATTGTACGTATATTGTACAAGAAATTTTAACATATTGTGATTACAATAGTTGTACAATACGTCCCATGAAGAAATAATTTTCAGAAATAGAACAACAATTTAATTAAGCGGCGCCGGTGGTGTAGTGGTAAACGTGATTACATCTCATCCCAGAAGGCCTGGGTTCAATCCCAGCATGTTCTGAGCAAGGTTGCAAAGACTCATTTCAGCTAAAACAATGTTTTTTCTAAATTATGAAATAATTAGATGCCATGATCAAGTTTTTAATTGGTAGGATACAAGAAGAGGTTGCAAAGAATGTGTTTGACATATTAAACCTGTTTATTTAACTTCATGAGAGTCACAGTCAGCGATTTTTCACAAACTCACTCACTCACTCAGCGATCAGCAAATCGCTGATTGTGACTCATAGAAAGCAAAATTTACAGGTTTTATGTTTCCAACGCATACTTTGTAACCTCTTCTTGTAAGTTACAAGTAAAACATGCCATCATACCATCTTTTGGTTTTATTATTCCGAAAAACATTATTTTAGCTGAAATGAGTCTTTGAGTCTCTGATCACGCCTTCCTTCGGGAAGTAAAGCCGTTGGTCCCCGGTTCATGAGTTGATGGGTCGATAGGTATGGTCCAGGTGTGGGAGCTGCCTCCTTGGCGTCGGTAGCATTGGTGCTAAGCACGGAAAACAAATCAAGGAAGTAAAAAAAAAACAATTCAGCTAATGGTAAATGGTTAAAATTTGTTTGGGGAAAAGTGATTTTTCGTATAGTTAAGATACATAAAACCCCCTTGTTCTTTTGTAGATTTTCCCATTTACCATAGATTCTATTGTGGAAACAATGCATTAAATGGTTATTTTTATCGTTGGTTTTTCCAGCAAGTTAGAGTTGTAGTGATCAACGAAATTTGAGTTAAGGACGAAACTCTCATCAGTTGCGTCTTTATCTAAAAACTTTTCCGCTTGATAACACATTATTTTTGTGAACTTTTGTTTTTTTTACCGGAAATTTGTTCTATTGGAGCACTGTACGTCGGCTCCGCTAACACCTAGACACGTTGAGACACTACTATCGGTCTTGTTCCTGGTAGAATTCAGCGTCAGCTGAGATATCATGGTCGGTTCTATTTACTATCCATATGCCCCAGACTATAACGTTACCATTGTCATCGTCACTAGAAAATATGACATCTACCGATACTTTGAGCCAAATTTTACAAACGAGCCAAATTATGGGCTGCGCGTACATATCATAGATACTTCAAGAGGTAGAAGAGGGTGTTGATAAAAGTCCGTCATGCCAGACATTGTCAAACGCCTTTTCAACGTCAAGCAAGGCCATGGCTGTGGACTTGAGCAACGATTGAAAATGAGTTCCCTCGAACAATTTGCTCATCACTGATTGGCCTGTAGCATGAAGACAATCCAACGATCCTTACCGGGTTTGTGGATTGGAATATTTTTTGCTACTTTGTAGACACTTGGAAAGCAGTGCTGCTCCAAGCATCTGTTAAAGATAGCGGTCAAAAGAGAGCACACTTTTATGATGAGTCTCTTCAAGATTAAGTTGAATATGCCGTCAAACCCGAGAATCTTCATATTCTTGGTGCATTTCAGCGCTTATAAAATCTACTAAAATACCCACCGTAGGCACAACAAAGGGGAAGCCGCAACCTGATCTTCGAGTGGACTTTCGATAGTCGAGCCAAACAAATACGATGAAGCGACATGCTCACCGATCGCATTTGCTTTCTCCTGTGGGGTGTCATTATTTGCGTCTCTCAGAGGTGGAACGTGCTTGGGATGAGTTTTCAAGTCCTTGGCTACCTTCCAGAATTCTTAAGATTTCCTATTTTGAGTATCAATTTTTAACGGACTCACTTAAAATTGTTGTAAAAAATAAGTAAAGGGTTCTGTCCTAGACACGACCGCAGTATGACGTAGAGCCACGCAAAATTGATGTTTGTCATGCATTTTTGACTATTATACTTATTATTATGAATGGGGGCGGAGCAGAACGTATCTTTTGTGCAGAATATGAAAAAAGGATGGACTTAGGATGTTAATCTAATTGCATACATAGAGGTACCAGATATGTTGTACAGTTAGTTGTTGGTAATTTACCAACATAATATTATCGGATGTATGTCTCCTCTTAACCAATTGTTTTGAAAATTTTGGCTTTTCTTTTTACTTATAAATGTAGTTTGCTTGATTTTTGTTGCACGGAAAAAAAGTGATCGTCAAATCTATGTCTTTTTTGAGTTGACGTTATAGGGGGAGGGGGATATTTTGCATATCCAAGTCGCATTCCTTATTATGTGACAGGTGATCACGCCGTGATCCACCTTTATCCGCTGACTTGGTCCTGCTTGCTGCAGGACCAAGTGCCACGCAGTGTGAGCAGAGGCACGACAGCAGTGCTGTTTTATATCTTTTCAGGTTCAAGCAGAATGATGTGCAACCGCACCTGACAGGGTTTCCTGCCGTGTTTTATGAATGGGGTGTGGCAGGATATTTATTTTGTGCAGATTATGTAAAAAAGGATGGTGCCAGAAATGTTTTACAATCAGTTGTTGGTAATTCATCGAATGTATGTCTCCTCTTAAGCAATTTTTTTTTTGAAAATTATGGCTCTGAGTTTAAAAATTGTTTTTACTTATAAGGGGCTGTTCATAAACTACGTAGACAGAGTTTAAGGGGGGGGGGGGGGTTAGAAATTATCCACAGCCCATACAAATTAAAAAAAAATGTATGGAAAAATCTCTACGCAGGGGGTGGGGGGTCAAGAATCCTAAAAAACTGTCTAAGTAGTTAATGAACAGCCTCTAATTGTGGTTTGCTTAAAATTTATTTCGCGGAAAAAAATGATAGTCAAAGTCCACGTCTTTTTCGGATTGCTGTTAAGGGGGGGAGGGGGTTTTACATACATAATTTTCCAGGTCTCATTTCTCATTGTGGTGGTCATGGTCACGCCGTGGTCCACCTTTAGCCGCTGTCTTGATCGTATTTGCTGCAGGACCTAGTACCACGCCGTCCGAAGCGGTAATGAGCAGAGGCAGGAAAGCAGCGCTGTTTCATATCTTTTCAGGATCAAGCAGAATGA